GCTGCTTTTAAGAATTGGGAACTTCATCAAATGGATGTGGACAATGCATTTTTACATGGTCAATTGGATGAGGAAGTTTACATGTATCCGCCACCTGGATTCTCCTCCTCTAGACAGCGACAAGTCTGTCGCTTGCATCAGTCGCTTTAAGCCGTTAATCACAATGACCAATTGAAATAATAATAATAATAATCACATAAAAAATAATCTATATTTCTGATGAGATAAATGTTGGCCGTAATTACATATGAGTATTTGATTACTGAAAATGATAATCACAAATATGTACTTAATTACCAAAGCCATATAAAATACCGACAAAAATCACTAAAAGTTTGAAAGCAAATCAACGTGGTAAAACATTCACTAATTAGTAAGTGATCTGTCAGTTATATACCACTCATTACTTTTCATACCAAAGTAATTAATTAAGGTCATTCTCACAATAGAAGATAAAAATGACAACTTAATCACCTTCCAAAATAATATTTGACTATAAATAAAAATTCGAACTTGATAGTTCACAATTACTAGTATATTGTAATACGGCAATGATTAATCACAATTATAAAAGGAATCTTTAATTCCCAAGGCACCAAATTGCCCATACTCCATATATAATACTCCGTATAAACAATACTAGTATAAAATAGCCAAAATTTGGAAAATGAATAAAAAAAAACAAATGGGATAACTAATAAACGTATGCACTAATATGCTCCGTAAGTGATTTAACGATCACAATATTAATATTCGAATCACCTTTTCCAAACAAAAAACATCAATCATAAGATTGACATAAAAATTGAAAATTCTACAATAATTTTCTACTGAGCGCCGAATAAATCTCAAAAGAAAAAATAAATCAAGAATATTCAATTAATTCCATCACATATTGCAGATCATGGCCGATACGATTATCAAAAAAATACAGATTCATATGAATTCTGATTCCATTGTAAATTTGTAATCGGCTAATCGTATATGGGATTGAATTGAAGTGCCCAAACAAGCAATAAATAAAATCCAATCTGCCACATTCAAAAACGAAACTGATATGGCAGATTAAAATTATTCAGATGTTCCAATCGTAGATGATCAATACGATTGAGAAAACAAAACGAAACAGCCGATTAAGACTAAATCAATTTTGCCTTACGATTAACTACCGATCTAATATGTGAATATATCAGGAACGAATTGCATAAACGCAAAATCGCATTACCCTTATTTCATTCAAATCGGCAGATCATATGACAAAAAAAATCTAGAAATTCAATCGTTTAAGATTGAAACAAGAAATATGAAAAACTCCAAATAATTCAACATGAAGGAGGCTCTGATACCAATTGTTGGAAATACTTTTACATATAGCGGAAGCAATACAAGAACAAATCAAACGGATTGTTCAATAATTCTAGGACCTTCATCATGTTGAATAATAGAGTATAATAAGATTACTACCTGGATCCATAGCGAAGCCGCAGGAGGAATGGAACGAGGTAGATGGCGTCTGGATCTTCCTCAATTGAACCCGAGTCTTTCTCTCTTCCGATGGGGAGAAGAGAAGTGAATTGGTCGTTCAATGTATTGGGGACCATAGCCTATTTATAGATTGTGTTGATCTAGTTAGAGCTCCCATTATACCCTAACAAGCAACACGGGCTTCTGCCCATTTATTATTTTGGCCCATACACCTATCTTAATAGTCTATTGGGTTTAGATAATACATAAATAAAACTCAATTATGATAAATAGCTAATAAAATAATTATAATATTAGCCCATATTAATTATTGGAATAAAATATTCCAACAATTCTTCCTTTCTTTGTGCGTGTTATTCACGTAAGAGCAAACCCACTCACATAATACTAAACGTATTAGAACCCTTGAGGAAGCGGGTTTTCTCAACTTTCTTTGATATTATATTGAAAAATTCGAAAACATCGAAAAAATCACAGTTGAAGAAAGCAAACTAAAGATTTGCACATAAGTTAAACTCCACCAAAGACTTTGCTTACCTTAAATTTGAGCTAAAACGTTGATGAGAATGTATGGAACCTCCATCAACTGAATACGGGAACATGTAAGTATTAAGTTCATGATCATCCAAAGCTTAACTAATTGCACTATACAAATCAGTTAACATAAGCTTATGCTGAAGTCTGAAAACAAACACTTGATTTCCAGGTGAAAAGGAAAGTTGCATCAGCAAGTGTTTGTCCCAAATTAGAATTCAGAAGATACTAAACTTCTCATGTTGAACATTATTTAACATAAACTTAGCACCAAATATAATCTGCTATACACATGGAATTAAAGCATATTTTCCACAACTCCAAAATCGGCTTAGAATGAAAAGTTATTGAATCAAATGAAAGAAAAGTATATGAGGATCAAATGATGTCAAAAGTGATACCTCCTATGAGGAACATAGTAGTTTTACCACTACAAGAAAGCTTTGAATTTTAAGTGATACTTACATTTCAAAGTAAATGTTATATTTACTTATTTATTACTATGTTCCATAAACCCAATTCCTAAACATTGCCCAAGGGTCTGTTTGGGTGAGGGTTAGCAAGGTCAACTTCAATAAGTGATATTGTCACCTTGCTAACGGACAATCAACAGATCTTATCTACAAACACCATCTTACAAGACCTATGTTGGTAGAAAATAGCTTGAGAGAGAAAGCGGCAACACTTCAGTATAGTAAAAATAGCGTAGAGAATACATGAGGGGGTGATGGCCTATTTATAGACATCCATAACAAGTCCAAAGTCTAACCTACGTGGGCTTGGCCCAAATGCATAATACATATCCAAGCTATCGGGCGAACCGGCCCGATAAATAAATAAATGAGCAAGGGGCGATTCCTGCTCGTGAGATTGCGTCTTGGGCCTAGTTGGGCCAAAGCTCGGGGATAACGGGCCGATGGCACTGGGCCTGGCATATTATCCCAACAACCAATATTTATATTTCCAGACTAGTCAACAGTTTGCCGCACAAAATTATGGGTAAACATCAAGACAATTGAAGACCTTGTCTCAGAATGATTAAACAGTGAAATAATTAATTTACTACATGTATTTGTTTATGATAATGAAAATTGAAAATAGTACACTACTCAAAGTGTTTTTGAAAAATGAAAAACACGGGCATGAAGCAAATGGACGTAGACATGGGTATTCCTAATACGAACAATAAACTCTTCAAACCGTCAGACCTAGATCTAATTAAAATCAGGCGGGTCATATAATAATATGAAAAAATTAGAATGGGTGTAATGGCTCTATTCACGCTTCCAGCTTATAGGTTTGATAGGTGAGTCTTATTTCGTGCTAGGGTGAAGCAGTTAGGAATGATGACTCTGCTTTAGTGGGAAAATAATATAAACTGCAATCATGTTCTTTTCTTAAACAACCAACCTTTAAAAGAATTTCTTAACAGAATAAGTTGGAAAAAAAATCAATTTATTAACTATTTGGATGCACACAAATATGTATACTTGCTAACAGTGGTCTTAGTAAGTATACTCCTAAATCTTACGGAGTGCATTTTAACATAGTTCAATGGTACTATCCAAATAGCATATAAGCAGATAAGAAGAACACTAAATTATAAAGTCGGATGCAGAATTTAGGCAAGTTGGCAAAGGTATTTTCTAACTGGCAAGAAAAATGGAAAATAACATAACAAGGATATATGATACATATATGAAAAAGTGTATGAAATCGAAGTATTCACAGGGAGCGGACGAAGGTAATGAATTTTACCGTGTGCCTGGGAACCGGACCGGTCCGCCACTGTGCGAGACCGGCCCGGCTCGGCCCGGTGAACTGGTACCGGTAACGGGCCTAGGCCCGACCTAGGGGATTAATGGGGTGCGGTTACGGGACTTGAAATTTGGGGACCGGCCCGGCCGGTCCGGGCCTTAATTTTTTCTTTTGGTTTTTTTTTCGGATTTGGGCCTATGCTAGGTGGGCTGGGCTGGGTGTTTTCGCGGGGTTTGGGGGGTGGGGGTTGGAATAAATAAGAAACCCCCAAAAAAAACTGAACCGACCCGGTACCGGTAGACTCCTGGGCCGGTCCCGGGCCTTGTCCAAAAAAATTCAAGCCCGGCCGGGCCCGACCCGGAACCAGACCGGGCCCGGTCCACCCCTAGGTTCAACACCACCACCATAGAAATAATATACGTAGTACTACGAATTACTTTGTAAATATATTAATAAAAATAATATTACGTTAGACGAGATTAGATCAACAATTCAACATTAAACAATCCTAACCGATTAAATTTTATAGGTCAAGATATATCAGGCCATACTAAATTAGTTCAAAACCAAGCTATGTTATAGCATACCAAACTAAATCAGTAAAACACGCTCTAAATGAACATGTATTTAATTATTTATTTCCAATTCCAATTTGCATTTTTCGTTACCACTTTAATAGGCTCTTTGGTTTGTTATAGCTTAATAGATATCATATTCTGCATTTCTCATGATCAGTACTAGATAACATATGCATCATGTTGCACAAGGACTTGTGAATTTCCAAGTTCCAACTTGTTGGATATATATTAGATATTAGATGTAAATAAGATTATATGTGGAGGTCCATATTGTCTCGTTTTCTATCAATCCACATATTTGAAGTAAGTGTAGGACTTGTGGCTAGTGAGTATAATTGTTAGATCAAAATGAATCAATTAGGAGTAATAAATATTAAAAATCTTTTTTCGAGCTTTTAAGGGTCCATCTATAAACTTGGAAAATCTCATTATCTCGTTAACATGTACTCGAGAAACATGTCTTGGTAACATATTTTTGGAAGATAAATGATTACGTGAACATTTTCAAGAAATTTGCATATGTAGTCTCTATAACATCGTGAAAATATTCAATAGATTTCATGTTTTTGAATCAAAAAGAAACTTGAAATGGACAGTGATGAAACTCATGAAAGAGTGTCAATTGCGTAATTAGTTACAAAACATGGGCAATCTGGTAACTTAGTCTTCCACTTTCCCGCGCCGCGACCTTCAAAAACGGCCTCTTCCCTTCCCTCCCGACCATATGCATCGTCAATAATCAGACGCCGTCCGGCATGGAAATCAGCATAGTCTTCGTCCTCTCAGCTCTTCTGCTCACAACCGCAACTCCGGAATCTCCGGCGTCTACTTCCAGTTGCTCCGATGATTTAGTTCTGTTCTCGACGTGCTTGCCGTTCATCTCCTCTTTTCCAAACAACGTCACTAACTCGCCATCGCGCCGTTGTTGCGATGAAATCGCCTCTGCGATGGAATCCGGCGGTGCAATCTGCCTGTGCTACCTCATACAGGAGCCGCGGATACTCGGATTCTCAGTTAACTCTACCAGAGTGGTCTCTCTCCCCACCGTTTGCCGGATGAGAAATGGAGAAGTCATCGCGAACACCTCCCTTAAGCATCTCTGTTCAGGTTCGTAGAATCGTAATCACGTAATAGCTGAACGAATTTCGGATAATCGATCCTATTAACCATCTTATTTATTCACGCATCTGTGAATTTTGTGGAATTTGTTTTCGTGATCGTCATTCTAATTGTTATTTACTCCGTGTTCCAATCTACTAATTTCAAACGTTGCAATGTAAACTGCTTATCTATTTGTGAAGTTTATTTTATTTTATTACGAATTACGAGTTTGAGAGTTTCCGCTGTTCCGCACTAATCAGATGCAATGGGATGATCCAAGTTCAGTAGAATCTTGTTGACATGGATAACCGAACTTAAATGCCTGAATTGGACAGAATTTATGCTGTGTCTGATTTCTGTGAAGAATTCTTTGAATGATCAAACAGTAAATAGGCTCTGATCATTCATCTTTTCATGTTCCAACTCAGGAAACATTACATTGCCTCCACTGAAGAGCATAACAGGTGCTACTCATCCGCTTTTTCAATTCCACTTTTCAATGATTTCGGTTAGCAATTTTTCAATAAGCGTGTGATGTGTATTGCTACAGGTCCAGGGATTTCAACTCCACACCTCCCGGGTAATAAAACACTGAATTTGGATGGCAATAGGCTGCAAATAGATACAGTACATAGCCTTTTATCTCTTTTCTGTAATTTAAGAGGAAATTCTTTAACAACTTTCAACCTGTATGTTTGCAGGCGGGGAAGATTCAGCCCCACCACCTCCTGTAAGTCTACCTCCTAAACCTGATAATAAAACATCAGGACTACCCCGTGCAAATGATTCATCTATTCCACCTGCTGATGATATTGAATTTCCCGCCATAACTACAACACATACTCCACCTGCTGTTGCTGTTGAATCTCCCACCAACATGACAGTAACACCTACACGAAGTGCATCTACAGTAGTAACAATCTGTTTCTCTTGTCGCTACAATTCCCTTGGGATACCCCTTCTGCTTGTCAACATGTTCATATAGTTTACCGAGGATTTAGTTTCCACAATAAAACAATCGCTCGTGTAATTCGTGTTTGAGGTATATAAGAGTTGTCAAATAGGTCAGTATATCACTTGCTATATGTACTGTATTTTCTTTTGTTTCTTGTATCAAGCCTACCATTTTCACTTTCCACAGCGTACAGTTCTTTTACTTCATTCCAACATAAGTAACTTTAAGACTGTAGATTGAAAATAGGATGGTCCCGATCGCCTGACCCACTCACGTGCTCAGCCACACCACTCATCCCAAAGAACATTACATCTATGCATTAATCTGTTCACCATGCCAGGCAAGCTGCTCGTTAGGTGGCAAATTTGCTCAGATTCGTTAACATAGGCAGCGTAAGTATTCCAAGCAAGCCTTTCAATTTGGAAATTTGATGATCATCACCTGGTGGATGGAGAACTGGAGAAGTCATGTTCCTTCCAGCCACATCTTTAATAGAAATTAGATGTAATTACTCATAACTCCAATAAATTTTTAGCGAGACTGCTCATAAGGACCAGAAGTGAGAGAACACCAAACCCCATGATAAATTACCAAAGGAAGTAATAAGGAGCTTAAGAATGGCAAAGTGATGTAGGTAAGGAGTTCGTACCTAAAAGGTTTTTGATGTTCTAATGTTTTTTTTGTTTCAATGTGAATCAAAGTTTTTTAGGTCCATTTCTAAGCCCACCTCATTTGTTTCCCATTTTAACAAGAACTTGGGTATTATCAAAGGCAAAATATATTAAGGTGCACTTTTTAATATCATCCTGCAGAAATGGATGATATTCAATCAAAAGCAAAACATTTTAACTAGAGAACACAATCAAATAGAGAACAAAGTTCAAGGTCTCCCCATCTTGGCACAGTAGTTCTACAAGACCATTTTTATAGCAATACTGAATAAAAAAGATATTTAAAATGTTAAAACTGCTGCGACACTCCATGACAACTTCATCTCAAACTCTAACATTGTTGAGACTGTTACAAAGAAGATTCACCACCTAAGAATTTAGGCAGCCTCAGATGTGGGTTCCTGATCATCCCTGATTGATTCACGCCACGCATACTCCCTAGCCCCATTCTGGTCAACAATTTTTATCACGAAATTTGGTGGGGCCATAACCAACCTAGACCGAATCTCCACTATGCACTTGTCTGCCAAATCAATGGCTTCCTCAACTGTCATGTCCTTCCTGTAGTGCCTGTCCATCATGGCAAGTGAGAAATAGGATCCGTAACCAAACGCTGCCTTGTCAACTTTGTGCATAGTTGCAATGTAATCAATGTAGTATAGTGAAGGACCAGTCTCCTTATCATAGCCAGCCAGGATGATGTTCACAAAATATGGATTCTGAAGGGAAAAGGATAAAGAAATTAAAAATGTCACTTTCAGCAGTTGGTGTCAAGGTAAATGTAAGCAACTATTCAACAACTTAATTAGTTAAGAGCCCGTTTGGTAGCACCAAAATCGGCTGTTTTGGCTGATTCTGCTGAAATTTTTGATATTCTGGCTGGAGTGGCTGTTTTGGCTGATTCTGCTGATTTAAGAAAAAAATATTTTAAAAATATATTTTATTAATAAATTAAAGAAAAAATTATATGTAAAAATAGCTAAAATGGTCCTCTACAGTAACTTAAGCCAACACAGCCAGAAAAGTAACTCCAACCTTATTTTTTCGGCTTATTACACAATTCAGTGCGCGAAAGTAAAAGTTATGTGTTTGGTGAAAAAGCTGACTGATAAGCCTGATAAGTCGAAAACAGAGTTCTCCAAACGGGCTCTAAATATGGGGGTTCCTCCCCACATCATAGAGCTTAAATGGAAATCTGGGCTTCAGCTTTCAGAATCTACCCCACAAGGGAGAATGCAAATAAAAGAATAATGATCTTCCAGGATCTGGTTGAATAGAAGCTTTTGGAAGGCTAAGTCTATATGTTGATGTATATATGAGATTTTATTAAAAAAATTGAAGGAAAGAGAATACAGAATCATATACGTAGTATGTAATATTTTTCATTCACCATTTATTTGTTACTGGATACATTATACTTGTAAAAAAACTTAAGCTTTCAAAGCCACTACATCCAAACTAACTTCCTAACCCTATTTCATGTTTAAGCACTACATTACCAAAATGACTGTAGAAAAATTAAGGGATCTAATGAAAAAGGAACTGCTTTCCATCATTGGCAATGAGCCAAAGACTCACAATTTTTTTGGCTTGGGAATATGATGGAATAAAGCAAAATGGTTCACTAAACTGATTGCGCTTCTTTGTTATGAAGTAGCACTCAGTCCATGCAATTTTTGACTCGTTTTTTCACTTTGGGTCATTCGGAAACAGTCTCTTTGTGCTTTAGTACAAGGGTAAGACTGCGTACATTCGACCCCCCTTACCCCACCGAAGGTGGGAGCCTTTGCGGCACTGGGGTAATGATGATGATGATGAATGAAAAAGGAACTTCTTGCACCAAAATTTTGCCTTCATACTCAATTTGAGTTTTACAATTGATGAATTGTAAAACCAATAAAAGAAGAACTTGAAGATTGTTACTTGGAGAAGAACTTGATAATTGTTACTTAGAAAACGTCGCCTTCATATTCAAATTTCGCATTCCAGCCTCACTCTTTTCAGTGTAAGAGATACTACCACCATGCCCTAAATATATTCTTGTATGTAAATGCAGAGGGATATAAATATGGTTGTTAAGTTAGTTGGAATATGAAATACAACAGTTGATTACAATATACAATAACCAAAACTATTGGCAATACGCTTTTATTAATCTCAATTAATGATTATGTTTTTATAATCCAAAGTGATAGCTATAAGATCTGTTTTCCAAGATTAGCCCTGCATGACCGGTAACATGTTTAAAAATTAAAATTTAATTACAATATTAGAACAAAACATAATCTGCTTTAATTAATCCCGAAAAGAAATACTTGGTTAGCAGATGAGTAGCTCTGTTCAAAACTAGAAGGGATGATCAAGAAGGGAATAATTTGAAACTCTGGGAGTAGATATGGATATTCTTGTGAAAACGGAGATTCTTCCTTCATCAGATCCTCCCACGTTCTAATGGACAAAAAATGGCTAGCCATAGTAAGGCATATGATGAGCCTATGGACGTAACTGTTGACATGCATGGTTTAAATCCAATTGGAACCACTTGGCAACAGCAATCACATTTCAGGTATAGCCACTGTTACTCATATGAGTCATATCCATCGATGCAGTCCTTAGTACGGTCAAAAGAAGATCTGAACCTTCTATAATACCCTTAGCTCAACATTCAAATACAGCTTATCTTCAGTAAGGCAAAAAAAATAGATGCATTTCATTCAATTCATCATATTTTCCATGAAGTCTGCATTAAGAACCTATTGATACCCATTTGGATTTGTAAACAATACTCATTATATTCTGAAGTAAGTGTCCATCCAGCAAAAAATATGGTTCTTAGGGTGATGATTAGTGTCCACAAACAGACACACATACCTATACTGAACTTTAGGCATTAAGAGTAGCGAATCGGAAATGAACAGAAATGGTGAACAACTAAGTGATTTTACTATTGCTGAATTGTACTGGAATTCCTGATGGTCACTCGTTTGTGAAAAACACGTGTTTACTTAATACTACGTATGAACTAATTTAAGAATGTTGTGTAGCGTGTAAACTAATATAACAATGAAAGGAGTCGTTAAATATTAGGTCTGTTAAGTGATCAACAGCTTTTGAGCATATAATGGACATTGATCACAAAAGAGGGTTGCATTTCAGACCAAATTTGAGCTCAAACTATGATATAAAACATACACCTAATTCAGATTTAAACCCTCTAACAACAATTCCATAAAAATCACAGTAATTTTGTAAACGATATTGCAAATGCTGAAACCCTAATGCATAATAAAGTTCAGACCTTCCGCAAGGCAGTGGCAAGTTCACCCCGAGTGAAGTTTGCTGCAGCCGAAGTAGTCAAAGGAATTCCGTTTCTGAACTGGTACAGGGACACGTTCTTCTGGATGAACTCAGTAAATTGAACTCTGCCCATTCAGAACCCCAAAACATAAGAAATTAATCGCAAATAATATAGACAGCCAAGATGAAATCATCAATATAGATACCTATCTCCAGCTTCGCCGCTAGCTCCCATTAGCTTGTGGGAATCGAGGATCATGATTTTGTCCTCGTTGGATTTGTGGACGAGGATGCTGTGCACGGCGGAGGTGTCGGCGACCACCAGTGCGAATCCGTTTCCGACAAGTCCGAATACGCACTCCATTGTTTTCTCCTTCTACTATTAGATCTCTTCTGATTGTCTTTCGTTTACTTCGCCTCCTAACTCTGAATGGTTCTTTCTGTAAAGAAGAGCTTGAAGGCGTCTTGGAGAACAAGCATATACTAACCCGGAACTTTGGAAGGCCTTTTTCTTCTTTATACTTTTCATTTAAAATACATGAATTATTTTTTTCTTTTAAATTTTTACTTCTCTTAAATACTTTCTTATTAAACTTATCAATCAACTTTTTCATTATAGTTGTTCTTTTTCATTTCATGTTCTGTATTGTATAATAAGAAGAAAAAGTAAGAATGAAGTTATTTTTCGAGCAGTATTGCTGAAGTTACTGTAGATGATCATAACCGTTTTTCATATGTATACTTTTTCTTTATTTCATTTTTTGAAAGAAGGTGGCTTATATTAATAAGAATGAACGTGAGCAGGTAACAACCAGACAAAGAATCCACTGTCCACCGTCCGACCTTGAACCAAACTTAGAACTTGCCACCTTAAAAGAAGCAATCAGATTCGTTGATCCTGAATTGGCTTATCTGAGCAATCAGATTCGTTGATCCTGAATTGGCTTATCTGAGCCAGTGAGTGTCAAACTAGGCTCCCCATCACCTGTCTTATGTTCTAGAGTCTTGACAAAAATAAAAACAACAACAAACAAAAACACATGATGTCCAAAATAAAAACCAACATGAAGAAAAACCAGTTTAAAGTCATAAATAACTTCAGTCTGCTAGAAGCACACGATCTTCACATGTTTAGGCGGGTTTGAGTGCTCTAGCTCGCCTCTTCGCTGTTTTTTGTTCCATCCAAAGTCATGGCGTTTCCCATGATTGCTCCTGCTCCCGCTCTTGTACATCCTAGGTCCGCCCCCGCTTCTGTTCTCCTGTTCCACTGTTGTTCATTCTTGTTTCCTCAATCCTCATAGTTTGTATCCACCCCTGCTTCCCGAGACTTACTCTTTATGTGACTTTGGCCCTGTTCTTGTATTTCCTTAAAGTTATTTTGCATCCCTGTTTGCCCTCTTCCTACCCCTCCTTCGTTTACGAGCCATTTGTTACCCATAGAAAGGTGAGGTCTCCCTTCACCCGTCCGCAACCATGGTCCAAAGGATTTCACAACCTCCTTATTCCCTTTTTCATACACTAGAGGACAATTTTCTCAGCATGACCTATTATTCTG